CGACTGGGGGAAATTTTCATACTCAATTTCATTTATTATTATTTCAGAATTTGATTTTTTATACGTCCACATAATAATAATAATCAACAACTGAAATATTAATCAGTCGCGTAATTTCAAGTAGTGACACTTGTTAGGGCTTTTTAAGCTATAGTTACAATTGTCTTAGGTGTAGGTACCACTGGGCAATTTTTGCCTTGCGGATGTACTACAGATAGAAATTGATGTACCTCGGGGAGCTCCTGGGGGGGGGGACTGCGAAAAGTTTCAATGTTTGCATTGTTATGAAAACAGGCCGGGGCATCACCGAAGCATCGGCGATGTCTTGCTGAAGTATCAGGGGGCCTTTGAGGATACTTAAATCGGGGATGCCTCGGGGGAAAAAGAATTTCGCGGAAGCTTCAGGGAAGCATCCCCGTCGGGAAAACATCAACACAAGCACTGGCATTTTTTCGCAGTTATCTAGAGGCCTCCCGATGGTTTATTATGACTTCCCCGAGGCATCACTGAAGCACCGGCGGTGTCTTGCTGACTTATCAGGGAACCTTTGAGGATATTTGAAGCAAAATATTTCGCTGATGCTTCACTGCTTCAGGGAAACATCTTCGGAGCTTCCCCATGGAAACGTCGGGAAGACATCGGAAAAAAAATTCAATGCAAGCTTGAAGGTTCCACATGGCTCACGACGAGCCCGAAGCTTCCCCTGCACACCGGGGAACCTGTTCCCGGCGCCTACCGGGGATCGTCAATTTCCATCGGTAGTATATCAAATTTGCCATATTGTTTTTGGAAATAACTATACCCTATAAATATGTATCGTGCATATCTTAAAAGTTTAGGTTAATTTCTGAAAAGATTAAATTCAAGTTGAAATTTGAAAATATTAGTAGTTTAAAAGCTGAAGTTAATATCTTAAACGGTTTTATTTTAAGATATTAACTTAATATCTTAATTAGCTGGACTTTTCAAGATGTCGACTTCTAGCTTTAGTCACAATGCGTGTAGCATGATTTGTAGAACTCAGTACGTGTTGAAGTAAGAGTATTAAATCGTTTCGTGTAATACAATAGGAATAAATGAAATGAAATGAAATGAAATGAAATGGGGTTTAACGTCCTACTGTTCTGCTCCTAACCTGGGCTAATGAAGACGGGCATACGCCATACAGTGTGCTATGAGGGAAATTTTGCCCGGGCAGCGGCACTACGGCCTACTCTTATATCGAATTCCAACTGCCAAGGGATCTTTTACGTGCACGCCAATGTGTACACGGACAATAGGAATAAGTTAATCCATAAAGTTATGCTTTTATGAACAATCTGTGTACCTAACATACAAAAGATATTTTATAATCCCTATTTTATTAAAATATAAACTACCTCCATAATCTCCATTTTATTCAAATATAAACCAATTGCCTATTCTATAATCGATTCGAAAATTATATAACAATCGAGATTAAACTTTTTTTAACTATTCACATTACTGCTGATAAATGTCTTTTAAATCCAAAACACAATAATCAATGTTCGTCTAATATACAACGAATCAAGCTGCATGTTCAGACCATTACAAACTGATAATGACGATGATAATGTTAATGGTGATGCTGCTGATGAATTATGTTACTGCCGCAATGTAAATTTTGGGATTACATATTAGAGATCCAGATTCCCATAAATAATTTTTTCATGTATTCGATTGTGTGCGAGTCATCGATTGTTCACATACAGACTGAAAGACCTCACTTATATTGGTTCCGAAAATTAGAAGTTTCAGTGGTTGAATCAATAAAAAAAAAATCTTTCAATGAGCTACTCCTGTGGACAAAGGGGGCCTGTTTTTTGATATAGAATGTTGAACCCACACAATTTATATTGTTGATATACACTTAAAAAATCCTCGGATGTGAGTGTGTGTGTACTCGGTTGTTGGTGTTCACCATACACAAAGTCCCCATTTGTCCGTATTAAAACATAATGTACGTCCTCGGTTGGTCACGTTAATAAAAAAAACCCTCTCCTATCGCGATATTGCACCGCAAATCAATTATAACGGTTATGTTGTCTTTTGTCCCATGTTTGGTCAAAGGGAGAACAAAAACGTAGTTATTTACGGGTTAAAGACCACAATAAGTGTCAAGAACAAAAATCCTCGATTGTTCACATACAGTCTGTACGACCTCAGTCAAACTGGTTTAGAAAATTAAAAGTTTTAAGTGGCTGAATCAATAAAAAATGTTCTTTAAGGTGGGCTGATCATGCAGTCAAAGGTTGTCTGTTCTCGGATATAGAATGTTGAACCCACTCAATTTATATTATTAATATACACTTGTAACGTCCTCGGATGTGAGTGTGTGTGTACTCGGTTGTTGGTGTTCACCATACACAAAGTCCCCAATTGTCGGTATTAAAACATAATATGCGTCCTCGGATGATCACATTAATAAATGACTGCTGTATCGCGATACTGTGCCATACATCAATTTTAAACAGTTATATTATATTTTTTCCCATGTGTGGTCAAAGGTGGGGGGGGGGACAAAAACGTAGTTATTTGCAGGTTAAAGATCAGTTATATTGTATTTTTTCTCATGTGTGGTCAAAGGGGGGGGGGGGGGACAAGAACGTAGTTATTTACAGGTTAAAGACCACAATAAGTGTCAAGTCCACAGTATGGTAGTATAGAGCAAATGACCTCGTTTGGCGGCGTTCCCATCTTATACCATGTGTGTCCTCGGTTAGGCGTAACTAGCATAGGGATTCGGTCTGTCGTGTTTCCCCAATTATTTGCAAACTCCCGCGTGTCCGCATTTCTTCCGCGTGTGTTTGTGATGGTGTGTGTGTGTGTGTGTGTGTGGTTCTGCTGATCATCTTGAAAATTTACATACTTATTGCTTATACCCTAAGGATGATCCTTATTGTTTTGGAGCATCCCGGACCCCCCAGGGGCACGCGCTAGCACCCTTAAACACATATAACACACAATTTAGTAATAAGTTTTCATTGGCATTAAAGATACATTAGTTAAGAGTTTAATAAAGAGTTGACCACTCTTACTATGATAATGCAAAAATAGAAGATAAAAAAAGAAAATATTGAAAATTTCAGTCAAATTACTTTATTCTAAACAGAGTTGTCACTGTTGGAAGTTTGGATTAGAAATAGACATCAACTGTGTCCGCACCGTCTACGAGAATTGCAGATCGTGGAAGTCATTAGTTACTCGCCCTGGCCTGCGTTATGAGTCATCCTTTGTCTAGAAGTGTGGTTATAAGCAGGAATCCAAAGGAGTTCGGGAGTGAAGGCGATGGCAATTGAGTTAAGATCGGACAGGGCCCGTGTAAGTTAGTTGGGAGTTGGCACCCAAGGGTGTCAAGTCAAGCCAAGCTAGGACTATGACCCCCTCAACAAATGCTAATTACGGAGTCTTAAGTTTTGTACATGATATGTCTGAAGAACAATTAAAGTATCATATGAAGTTAAAAACCAGTGTTCTCATACAGATCCGATTCAAAGAATCTAAAAGTATTAACATGGTATGTTTTCCCGCTTTTAAATCATACTCTGAACTTATTCTCCTATTACGTTCGTTCGTTTTAGATACCTTTATGTATAATATACTAAGCAGAAAAACAAATTCAGGTTGGTATGTTACTCTGAATAGACGCATTGCATAAAACTTGCCAAATGTTTTAATTGTATATCTGTGACCACGTCTCCAACTGTTCCTGAGCAATAAGGCTCCTTCCCAAACACAGAATTGAAAATGTTCTCAAAAACGCAATCTGACTTCTGAGATGGCAATGTGTTCTCCATGATTTTCATGTAACTCATGCAGCACGTGCTGTTCAACGGGACCAGCCCTATAAAATGCACCCCCATATCTAGTTGAATCATTCACACTACAACGTGAGCAGCATGCCACGACTTACAACAGCTCAGAGGAACCAGGCGCTTGGAAGATTCGGCGCTGGCCACACTGCCCAAGGCGCTGCCAATCAGACCATTTACAGGCTTCAGCAACGCTTTCGGGCCACCAACACCACAAATAATCGCTCCCGGACTTGTAGAACAAGGGTTATCACAAGGCGACAATACCGCCATGTTGTGCGACAGCACGTGCAGAATCCCTTTACACAGGCATCTGAGACAGCACGTCAGACAGTGGGAACACCAGAACTGGCGACACAGGCAATGGAGAACTGTTCTGTTTACAGATGAGAGTCGGTATTGCGTATCAACAGCAGATGGCAGGACCAGAACGAGACTCATGGGGAGGTCCAAGCACAATGGTTTGGGGTGGAATCGGCCTGAACCAGAGAGTGGGTCCTGTGGTGTTCCAAAGTGTTCCAAAGTGCGCTATATCGATCAATCTCTCAGAACCCATGTCATACCACATTTCGAACGTCTTCGAAACAACGCTTATCAACATGACAACACCCGTGCCCACACCGCCAAGGTTACTCGGGACTTTCTACAGCAGAACGGTGTCAACGTTATGCACTGGCTAGCCCTTAGTCCGGACTTAAACCCGATTGAACATTTTTGGGATGAAATTCAGAGGAGGCATAATAACACAACACAGCCGATGGAATGCGCCAGGCTTTTCTGAGAGTGTGGTTCCAGGTGCCAATGGCGTGTATCAATCGTCTGGTCCACTCCATGTACAGACGCTGTCTTGGAATTGGAGTTAATACTGTTCACAAAAAATTGCTTTGATCCATGTAGTAAATCGTTTTCTAAAGTGATTTGATTAAAGTGCCTTTCTGAATTTGAAATCGTACTGACGTTTTGGGTTGTTTTTGTTTGACTGTTGAGTATATTTCAATTTTTATTCTGCTTTAAATGTGAAATAATCAATATTAGTATATTTTAGCGTGAAAACTTGTAGATAAAATAGCCATTGTTGACTGCTTACTTACTAATAATGTATAAACTGTCATTTGATTGGTCAAAAGAATTGACGTCACCTACTTTGTAAAGGATAACTAGTAGAGTGTCTCCTCATCGATATCAGTTCAACTCTTGATTTCAACATTAACAACAAGGTTTATCGCAGATTTCAACATGCGGGCGCTAATACTAGTTTTCTTCATGATCACTGTGACAGCCATCTGGGGACATCGGTATAAAATTCGTCGACATTCAAGGCAATCACGGTATAACATTCGTCGACATTCAAAGCCATCAATTCATACAACCTGTGATGTGATAAAACGGAGAGGCATTTGCCTTTTCTACGATCAGTTTAAGCAATTTGTCAACATCAAGCGGCTGAACCGAAAATGCTGCAGTGACAGCGATGCATTGAAAACGGGTTCGTAATTTATTTGTTTGGTTGTTTGTTTAAAGTGTCTTTATGTTTAAATTTATTTTATTTATTAAGTTTTCATATTACATATGCAAACTTTTTGTTTCTGTTATGATTATTTTTTTTTTTTTTTTTGTTATTTTCCCATAAATCGTATATCTCAGACATTTTCTACATTTATGGTAAGGTTTTGGGGCATTTGGGTGCAACTTTTCACCACAAGAGTTCCACAAGATATTGGGTTTCTGAAAACAAATACATTCCACAAGTTTTTCGACTTAAAATAATATTCATAGGGTGTTTTGATTCTGTGGAGTTTTTCACCACAAAAGTTCCACAAGATATTGGATTTTTTTTCCCAAAATTTCTTCTTATATGCCTGTGTGGTACCACATTCCACAAGATTTTGATACAGTGTTTTGGGTTTTTCCAAAATTTCTTCTCATACCTCCCTATGTGCCTGTGTGATACCACATTCCACAAAATGTTCGACTTAAAATAATTTTCATATAGTGTTTGGGTCTGTGGTGTTTTTCACCACAAGAGTTCCACAAGAAATTGGACCTAAGCAACATTCCTATCGTTTGGGGTGCATGTCCAACCCCCAGGGACAGAGCCATGCCCATGTTTTTAATCGATTGTCTTGAAAAATTTTCATATGAATTTCTTATACCCTAAGGATGATTCCTGTTGTTTTTGGTGTGTATGCCCGACCCCCAGTGGCAGAGCCACGCCCATTTCTTGTATTTATTTGTTTGTCATCTACAGACCGCATTTCTTAACGAAACTTTGCATACTTATTCCTTCTATCCAAAGAAACATCCCTATTGTTTGTGGTGAATGCCCAACCCCCAGGGGCAGAGCCACGCCCATTTGCTTTGCGTGTTTCTGTGTGTCACTTACAGCCCACAATGCTTAATCGATCGTTCTGAAAACTTTTTTATACTTATTCCTTATACTATAAAACTGACCCCTATTATTTTTCGTGCATGCCCGACCCCCTGGGACAGAGCCACGCCCAATGTTTGTGTGTCATGTGTTAACAGATCCGTTTGAAACCTTGCATACCTATTCCATATACCTAAGGATGACCCCTATTGTTTTTTGATGATTACCCAACCCCTAGGGGCAGAGCCACACCCATTTTATCTTTTTTTCTCTGTGTGTTGCCTACAGACCACGATTCTTATTGGATCGTAATTGAACGTCGGATATGTATTCCTTATAGGACGACAATTGCATTTCCCGCCCCCCAAGGGCAGAGCCACGCCAAAATTTTGTGTTTATCGTTTACAGGCCGCAATTCTGAATGGATCAACTTGGTACTTGGAATATGTATTCCTTATAGCCTAAGGGCTTCAACTATTGAATTTAATGAATGCCCCGACCCCCAGGGTCAGAGCAACGCCCGATTTTTGACTTTAACACCCGAAGGCCACAATTCTGGATGGATTATCTTGGAACTTGGTATACTTATTCCTTATACCGTAAGGACGGCAACTATTGATGTTGGTGCACGAACACCTTCTCGCCCCCCCCCCCGCCCTTTCGACAGTGTCACACCCACTTTTTGTTCATATTGTGTTTGTAAATGATATACAGGTTGCAATTATTAATAAATTTGAATTCAATTCGGAATGACCCAGCATAGGGTTGTACCTATATATATTGGTCCATGTCCAACCTCCAGGGCAGAGCCACGCCCAATTGATTTTTTGTGTGATTTTTTTTTTTTTTTTTGTCTACGGGCTGGAATTCTAAATAGATCATCTTCGAACTTGGCATATTTATTCCTTATAATGTAAGGATAGCAACTATTTATTTTGGTGCATGTCCCGATCACCCACTTTTTTGTTAGTTTTTATCGGTAAATACTCTACAGGTTGCAATAATTAACAGATTTTGTTCAAATTCAGCATATCAATCATTTCAATATTGTTCCATATCCAACCCCCAGGGACAGAGCCACACCCAATTTTTGTATTTATCGTCCACAGGCTGCAATTCTGAATGGATCATCTTTGAATTTTGCATATTAATTCCTTACACCTTTAAAGACAGCAACTATTTATTTTGGTGCTTGCCCCGACCCCCTGGGGAAGTGTCACACCCACTTTTTTGTTAATATTTTGTCTGTAAATTTGGCAAAACAAACCCAACGCCAAACCCTCTTTGCTCCTTGTCATATTACAGTCATTTCATATTTCATTCTCTTCATTATTAAAATGTACTATATCAATCAATGCCCTGAAAAAAAAATCATTTTCACCTGCAATTTTCGAATTTCAAAAATTCGTCGCTGGTAGTTCGATCCGGAAGTTTAGACCAACTTGAGAACTTCCTTAATAGTTGCACGATTTTCATGATATTTGAAAATTAAATAAATCTTATTGATGCGACTTGAAAGATGTCACTAGAAATGTTCTAACTTATCTCACCTTGGAGGAATTAAGGATCAAAGTTTAAAAAAAAATCGGCAAAATATAAGTCAGACTGCCTTGAATTTTTTTTTCGGTACTAGCTAAGAAATTAATAATGGGTACACAAAATATGGAGCTTGTCGATCGAACCGGAAGTGCCACAATCTTAAAACGTGAAAAAAGGCTTTTGCGATATTTTACTTATAGACATGGGAGTTACATTTTCTGAATCCTAAAAATTTATCGGAGCAGAATGTTGATTTCGGTCAACTATTAGTCACCATTTTGAAATGAATATGAAGAAAGTAAAAATCCACGTTAACGGAGATAAAAATGAACATAATAGGCCTTAGATTGAAGAATAGCCTTCCTATTTCCGGAATGAATACATTTCTGGATAGCCGGGATCGGGGGTTCAAGTTTTGATGTTTGACTATTTCAAAATTCCGAATTTCGCCTTTCATATATTCCTGGCAGATCTAATTTTATTTATTTTATTTATTTATTCAAACTTTGATTATTATTTTTACCTGTCCGTCTGGACGTCCGGACGTCCGTCCGTCCACTATTGTTTGTGGGCACTCTACAGGTCACAATTTTTATCCCATTTCAACGAAACTTGAAATATAGGTTTATCTCCCTAAAATCTCGGGTTCTTTCGATATTTGCATGTATCGGACCGTAACTTCATGGATTATGGCTCCTGATTGTACGAAAAAAATCGCGTGTTTAGCTTGTGGACCCTATAGAGATCACAATGATTATCTGATTTTGTTGCAATTTGAAATGTAATTTTATAACCCAAAGATCTTAGTTCCTTTCGGTATTCGTGCATATCGGACCGTAACTTCCTGAATTATGGCCCATGACTGTACGAAAAATCACGATTTTTAGCTTGTGGACCCTATGGAGGCCACAATTTTATTCCGATTAAAAAAAACGTTTGAATATATCACCGTTGCACCTTAATGATGGTTGAGTTCGAATTCCGTGAAAATCGGACCAAAACTGCCGGAAAAAATGGCCGCCCCTCGAACGCAAACAGTGTAAAAATATGTCATCAAGGTTGTGGACCCTCTAGAGCTCACAATTTTGATCCAATTTTGATTAAACTTAAAATACATGTTTATAAATCTAAGATATTGGTTCCTGTCGATATTTGCGCATATCGGATCGTAACTTCCTGAATTGTGGCCCTTGCTCGTATGAAAAATTGCGTTTTAACCTTGTGTTCCCTCTAGAGCTAACAATTTTTATCCAAATTTCATGAAAAACGGACCAAAACTGCCGGACAAAATGGCCGCCGCTCGTACGCTAATAGTGTAAAAATATGGTATATCAAAGTTGTGGACTCTCTAGAGGTCACAATTTTCACCCGATTTTGATGAAACTTGAAATGCATGTTTATAAATCACTTTTTGTTTAGCTTGTCCTCTATCCACCTCTTGCAAAATGTGGGTGTATCCTGTCAGAAAGCCGCTAATTTAAACTGGTTTTCTATTTTCATCTTACCTCCTGACGGTCTTTTAAATGCAGCTAAATATGGATGGATACTACTGCTACTACTACTCGATTTGTATATGGGTCGGGTGTTCCAGCTAATAAGCTGGTTCAGGCCGCTCTTTACAATTCAAGTAAATATAACGTAACACAACAGTTTTAACACAGTTTTAACACAATATGTCAGCATATTCATAGTTCAAAAAGCATCTTTAAAAAGTAGGTTCATGCATGTTGAAATTTCATTAACATGAAGATGAATAGTGGAATCCCATTCTATACATATAGTTTTAAACATAAAAATGGTTGAATTCTGTTCAATATATACAGTTTTAAACATACAAACTAGTGTAATTATATTGCTTTTAAAATGGTTGGATTCGGTTCTATCCAAATGGTTATTTTTGTAGCTTATATTGTAACAAAGAATGGAGACAAAATTGTTAAGACTTGTAATGGATTTTTCACGCCAATGGAATTTGATACTTGTGCAATAAAAGGAGAAAACTTCTGCCCGAAATGCTGTAAAGGTATGTACTCTTATTAACTAATATTAACCAGTATTGTTGTTTAATTCAGTTAGTATGCCAATCTGGCATTAAGAAAAACTGAAGATCCGGTACCCCATCTGCAAGCTGCGGTAAGTAGCTGTAATGGTCAGTGTGTGTGATATATCTAATGAATTAGTTACGGTGATCAGAATGTGTTTATATCCATCCTATACATAACAGCCAGCTATATTTATAGCCTTTACCAAATGATTTAAGAATATTAATTACTTACGTCTGATTTGTATTTTTCGGAAAATATCAAATTTCTCAAGGTTTAATTATATCAACGTTAATGTACTTAGATTGGTATTTGAAAGTTAATGCAGAAAACAAAATCAAATAACCAATGTTAAATAATCGCCCAGATTGCATTCAATCTGAATTAAAGCAAGAGAAGGTATCGATCTTTTGGCTTTCCTTTTGGCCTGTCATTGAGTCAACTGACCTGGTTGTATGTGACAAGGAGTAGGGTCGGCTGTTCAACCTCGTGGATTTTCTCCGGGTCCTCCGGTTTCCACCTACTGCTAAAGACCCCTATGCGCCAGCGACTTGTTACAATGAAATTGAAACATACATTAGTCCCGAAATGACCTCATTTGTGTTCAGATGACTTTAAACCCCTTTCTGCGATGCTATTACCAACAAATAACATGCAAACGGGGTGAACAGACAAAAAGAAAAAGAGAATTGTTATACCTAGTCGAACTACCATGTTTATTTTGTGGAGCAATGTTACCATGTATGAAAGCAAACTTTAATTAAATAACGCCAACATACGTTTCTTAAATTTAATTTCAGTAAATCTCTGTGATGTAGACAACCCCTGTTTAAATAGTGGCACGTGTGTTCCATCAGAAGGTGGTGTGAGTTGTAGCTGTCCTCCTACATTTCCAGGAATCTATTGCGAGAGTAAGTTGGTTCTTCTGCTTTACTCTCATATAAAGAAAATCACATTTAAATACAAAACGGAGTCTCTGATTTATTATTTTCGAAAAACATATATATGAAAAATTCACGTCAAATATAGCTAGATTAATATTGTCATTTAATTGAGAACGTAAAACTACTATAGATTTAATATTTATCTCCCTTGGCGAATATGTTTCACTTATTTTATTTTTCTCTATCAATTTACATTCGTGGATTGAATTAAACCTTGTCGAACCCACTGAATAAAACGATTAAATCATTCATTATTAGATACGGTTAAATTTAAAACAAAACAAGGAATCTAAATTATATTTTAAAAACAGCATGGCGGGAAGGGTGTCACAGGAACTAAGTCATAGCGGATGCAAACGATCCTATAATTGCTTGAAGAGATGAAGGGATGCCGATCAGCAATTGCTTTGTTTGCAAGAAGCGACAAATGGCTGATATCTCAAACGTGCTTTACATAGAACAAGGAGTTCATGATGTGTTTCGGGTCCCAACAAATCGTTTATGTAAGACTATAATTCGGCGCGACACTACCATTCTGGTTATGAACGCCAATAATAACTTGTAACACTAACGATTCCTATCGCATTTTTCAAAATCTTTGACTATACTTTCAACATCAATAAGATCTTCACCTTTTGTATTTCTTTAATACTAAGGTCAAGGTAAACCGCGTTGATCCAATACGTGTTTATATAGTAGAATACAACACACATTTAAAAAACCGAAAACAACTGGGATATTACAATTACATTCGTTTAGCTTGCAAAGTATTAGTTTCTCTGATAAATGAATAGGAGTCAGTGACATGGTCAAGATTTTCTATTAAGTAAAGTTTTTATTAATAATTGATAGAGATTGATTGTAATTTTGACGAGAATTACTGTACATGGAAACAGTCGTGGGACAATTCTCTTTATTGGATAAGACGCAAAGGCCAAACACCTACAGAGAACACAGGACCACAAAATGATCACACAGGCGGTAAGATTTTGTTTTTTAACGGCTGCTAAAAATGAGGAATTACCGAAAAAAGCGAAGTGTGCACGTGCTGGAAGGAATCTGATGCAATGTTAAATAAACGCACACCATCTGCAATACTACTTTTCATTACAAATATTTTTTTAATGGCTGCCATACGAATCTATATCATGGATTGGTTTCTTGTCTGCAATAAAGGACTCGACTCAGATAAAAGACTTATCTTTTAAATCTAACCTGACAAATGAAATTCTTCTTGTTTGATTATTTTCCAGATGGATCATACATATATATCGAAGCATCCGTGGGACACCCAAATCAGACAGGGATGATAGAGAGTCCAGAAATTATCCAATCTACAGCTACACAATGTTTGTCGTTCTGGTATCATATGTTTGGAAAAGATATGGGTAAGAACGGACCGAGAAACGAATTCACATTTCAGATATTACTGTGAATCTGTTCACTTTAAGATCACGACTGACCGATTGTCGGAACAGTTGATTTTTGGTTATAATCCAGTTCGACTATGGGATTATAGTGACAGGGACTACTAATACATGGTGTAACTCCAGCCTGTCACATTATCTATTCTGTATTTTTGACACCGACCCATCATAACAACACCGTTTGTCGATCACTGTATTCGAATCCTAACAATATGTCTTCCGGTCATGACTTCAATAAATGCTTTAAACAACTATAATTTTCAATATCTTCAGGTGATCTCAACGTGTATATCAAAACAAATCAGACAGGATTGGGGGATGCCGTATGGACAAGAGGTGGTAACCAGGGTAATGTTTGGAAACGAGGCTATGTAAATCTTTCACAGATACCATTTTTATATTCGGTAAGTTCCTATTCATCTTCCACACGTAGGATCTGAATATTCGACCAGGTTCAAAAGATATCGGACGGAATTGGGTGATGTTTTATGGACAAGTGAAGATGATCATGCTAATGTTTGGACACAAGTCCATTTAGCATTATATGATGGTTGGTTGGCAGACTGATTTAACGCCATTCATTGAGTCAAATGTTGTGATGTCGAAGTTCAACTTGTTGGCGACATGGAGTAGAATCGCCTGTCCTCCACCCCACCCCCTTCGCCACATACATTGAACAATATGTTAGTCCCGAGTGGACGTTAAACCCAATTTCTATCTCTCCCCCATATATATTAAGTAGCTACTAATACAACAGACCTACAGGAAAAAAAGTCAGCCATTTGAACTCCTCAAATTTATTTCCTAGTAAATGTAGATGTCAAAACTTAAAAGTTTTACGATTCTTTGAAATATTAAATTGTATTTTATGTAGATTGTATTTGAAGGAATTAGAGGATCTGACATTAAATCAGATATAGCTCTAGATGATATTACATTTGTTGAGGGAGTATGTCAAGGTAATTATTCATTAAAGTAGCTAAGTCTCTAACTCAATATCATCCAAAATCTTCAACATTGAAAACACGATTTATTTGTCAAATTAAATCAACATTCATGTTGTGATCTTACCGGAAAAATATGGGCTTTTGATATCCAATATTTAAGACAAAATAAACATTTTACCATTGGTACACGAATCGTGTACCATGATGCGCTTCAGCCCTAGTTGTATCAAGAGACTCGAGGGACGAGGCTAGACACATTGCACCAAATCAAACGGCGTATGTTGACTGGAATAACCAGACGCTAGAAATTTGCACTCGCTTGAGACTGCTGGCTTATTTCGCCGAACATAACTGATTTGAAATTGGAGTAAAAACCGAAACCATTGAATGTAAATCAGTTTATATACATTCATATTACAGTATTATATGTGTTGCGACCCATTTTTGTCAATTTCTAGGTCCCAAATGTTAGCGATTTAGCTCCTTTAAGTTTATAAATATTATACAATATATCTTTACATCTGAAATTTACGTTATTTTTGAGAAGTTGGTTAGCAAAGCGGTCTCTCGAGATTTGGTACCCAGAATGTACTCCAGAAAGCACCATTTACTGTCAGTTTCCAAACATTTTCTACAGCACGGGAGAGAGACCGGGTCCCGCCTAAAGTGGGGGCCCCTGACGGGGCCAGTCTCAGGGCTCTCTGGCCTCCAGTCCGCCCCTCAATCCCATTTTTTACCACTTACCAACTACACATATCAACAAACCGTATCTCGTATTACATTAAGTTTAGAATATTATACTGACCACAGAAATTATGTTTATGGCGTGATTATTTTACACCAGTTTGATTAAAATCAGATTTGTCAAGTTTGATAGCCGAAAAGGTAGCACGTACGCGTTTTATCATAAGGTCTGTCATTCAGTCAACTGGTGTGGTTTTGTTTCCCCTTACGTTTAGTTTCATAGCGGACACAAATGATCCTATTATTGCTTGAAAAGATCCCGATAACCAATTGCTGCGTTTGCAATAAGCGACGAATAGCTGATTTCTCAAACGTGCCTTACATAAAGAAAGGAGTTCATGATTTCCTTGCGCCCTAGGTGACATTTATAAAACAAGGACGGTGTTAAAAAAAACTTATTTCTCTTTCACATAATTTTATTTGTTTACGTAATTAATTTCTCTTGAGCGTATATAAACATTCATATTTTGCTATACTTTTTCCTCTGTTTATATAGCAGAATACACCACACATACAAAATGAACACAACTGGGATATTACATATATAAGTTATAGCTCCTGTCTCTAGCAACTCTGTACCGCATTTGAAATGGGACAACTCTAAACGTTCGCCCCTGTTTGTGTTCTTGTGCGCCTGTTCATGCCGTGTGCAGACAATATATCAGCAGTGGCACCATGTGTGGAAGCAAACTTTAATCTAATAACGCCAACTTTCATTTCTTAAATTTAATTTTAGTAAATCTCTGTGATGTAAACCAGCCCTGTTTAAATAATGGTACGTGTGTTCCATCAGAAGGTGGTGTGAGTTGTAGCTGTCCTCCTACATTTCCAGGAATCTATTGCGAGAGTAAGTTGGTTCTGCTTTGCTCTTGTGTAAAGGAAATCACATTTAAATACCAAATCGAGTCTCGGATTTATAATTTTAGAGATATATATATGATCAATTCACGTCAAATATAGCAAGATTAATATTGTCATTTAATTGAGAACGTAAAACTACTATAGATTGAATATTTATCTCCCTTGGCGAATATGTTTCACTTACTTTTACTTTAGTGGGTTTTTTTATCTCTGTCAATTAATATGGGGGTTGAGGTGGGGAGGCGAATAGTTAGCGCTTGTATCATAAGATCTGTCGTTGAGTCAAATGGTGTGGTTTCGTTTCCCCGTTTCGTTTCATAGCGGACGCAAACGATCCTACAATTGTTTGAAAAGACCCCGATAACCAATTGCAATAAAGCGACAAATAGCTGATTTCTCAAACGTGCTTTAAATAAAGCAAGGAGTTCATGATTTCCTTGTGCCGTAAACGTTCATGGCTCTGTCAAAGGCTATTCCCCGGGAAATACAAGGTATGAATAAATGGGAAGTTAAATTGGATAAGGCACTATCTTGAAGGGATGTACACTCCAAAACAATGCTCAAATATTTAGTTCTAGATGTTGGACGTTATTGAACAAATAAATTTGCATTCATTTGGCTTGCGAAGTCTGAATTTCTCTGATATATGGATGGCAGTCAGTAACATTTCATGATTTTCTATTAAATAATGTTTTTATTAATAATTAATAGAGATTGATTGTAATTTTGATGAAAGTTACTGTGGGTGGAAACAGTTGCCCGACGATATTTTTGATTGGACAAGAAATAAAGGCCCAACAAATTCAGAAAGGACAGGACCACCAAATGATCATACAGGAAGTAAGATTTTGTTTTTTTTAACGGCTGCTAAAATTGATGAATTACCGAAAAATCGCGACGTATACATGTGCAGGAAGAAATCCGATTCAAAGTTGAATAAAAGCATAGTTAGACAGGCAAGGTAACATATGCTGGAAGAAATCAGATAGAATGTTAAATAAAGGCACACCAACTGTAATATCACTCTTCATCACAATATAATATTTTAAATTTGCTTTTAATGGCTGCCATACGAATTTATATCATAGATTGGTTTCTTGTCTGCAATAAAGGACTCGACTCAGATAAAAGACTTATCTTTTAAATCTAACCAGACAAATGAAATTCTTCTTGTTTGATTCTCTTCCAGATGGATCATACATATATATCGAAGCATCAAACCAAGTAGAAAATGATAAAGCGAGAATAGAGAGTCCAGAAATTATCCAATCTACATCTACACAATGTTTGTCGTTCTGGTATCATATGTATGGAGAGGATATGGGTAAGAACGGGTTGAGAAACGAATACATTTTTAAATGACGACTAACCGATTGCCGGAACAGTTGATTTTGGGGTTAAAACCAAATATCCAGCTCTTATAATATTTCGATTATGGGATTATATTGACCAGCCTATCACATAACTATTATCTATTCTGTATTTTTAACACCTTCCCACCATAACAACATCCTTTGTCACTGTATTCCAATCCTAACAATGCTTCTTCTGGTCATGACTTCAATAAATGATTTTAACAACTGATATTTTCAGGTGATCTCAACGTGTATATCAAAACAAATCAGACGGGATTGGGGGATGCCGTATTTACAAGAGCTGGTGACCAGGGTAATGTTTGGAAACGAAGCTATGTAAATGTTTCACAAATATCATCTGCATATTCGGTAAGTTCCTATACATCTTCCACAAGTAGGATCTGAAGTATCAAAACATATCGGACAGAATTGGGTGATGTTTTATGGACAAGCGAAGATGATCATGCTGATGTTTGGACACAAGACCATTTAGCCATATATGAAGGTTGGGTGGCGTGTCAATGAGTCAAGTGGTGTGATGTCGAATTCCTGCTTGTTTGCGACAAGGAGTAGAATCGCCTATCCTCCATATCCCCCGCGCACACACACACACACACACACACACCCACACACACAAACACACACACTACTAAAAGCGAATTGTTGACATACATTGAACAATATGTTAGTCCCGAGTGGACGTTAAACCCAATTTCTATCTCTCTTCCATATAGAAGAAGTAGCTGTCAATATAACAGAACTACAGAAAAGAATGTCAGTCATTTGAACTCCTCAAATTTATTTCCTATTATATGTAGATGCCAAAACTTAAAGGTTTTACGATTCTTTGAAATATTAAATTGTATTTTATGTAGATTGTATTTGAAGGAGTTAGAGGATCGGACGTTGAATCAGATATAGCTATAGATGATGTTACACTTGTCGAGGGAGGATGTCAAGGTAATTATTCATTAATTTTATAAATATAATACAATATATTTTTACATCAGACTTCTTTACATATTTGGTTCAAATTTGAAACGGTCTTGGTGATGAAGAAGATCCCAATGAAATTATATTCAAATTCATAACGTCTTGCCAACACGATATAGTACAGTGTTGGTGTTAATACACGGAGAGTTATCTTTTCCGTTATATTTGACTGTAAATGACTGTGAATACTAAACACGATGAAGGAAGACTGGTACCCTAAAGACGTTAATGTTCTCATATACACTGTAAAAAATATCTGTTTTTAAAATCCCTATAGTTTTGGGGGCCCTTTGTAGTCTGGAATTTAGGTTATTTTTGATAAGTTGGTTAGCAAAGCAGTCTCCCGAGGTTTGGTACCCAAAATGTACCCAAGAAAGCGCCAAATATTGTACCTCCTTCAACCCTGGCGGGGAGCGCTTTTGAAATGGGACAACTCTAAACGTTCGCCCCTGTTTGTGTTCTTGTGTGCCTGTTCATGCCGTGTGCTGACCATATATCAGCAGTGGCACCATGTATGAAAGCAAACTTTAATCTAATAAAGCCAACTTTCGTTTCTTAAATTTAATTTTAGTAAATCTCTGTGATGTAGACAACCCCTGTTTAAATAATGGTACGTGTGTTCCATCAGAAGGTGGTGTGAGTTGTAGCTGTCCTCCTACATTTCCAGGAATCTATTGCGAGAGTAAGTTGGTTCTGCTTTCCTCGTATAAAGAAAATCACATTTAAATACCAAATTGAGTCTGATTTATTATTTTAGAAAAAAAAACATATATATGAACAATTCGCGTCAAAGATCGTTTGATTAATATTGTCATTTAATTGAAAACGCAAAACAACTATACGTTTAATATTTATCTCCCTTGGCGAATATGTTTCACTTACCTTTACTTTAGTGTTTTTTATTTGTCTCTATCAATTTACATCTGGGGTGGGGGTGGGGGTATGGCCGAATAATTAGCGCGTGCGCGTTGTTGTATCATAAGGTCTGTCATTCAGTCAACTGGCGTGGTTTCGTTTCCCTGGACGTTTAGTTTCATAGCGGACGCAAACGATTCTATAATTGCTTGAAAAGATCTCGATAACCAATTGCTGCGTTTGCAATAAGCGACGAATAGCTGATTTCTCAAACGTGCTGTACATAAAATAAGGAGTTCATGATTGCCGTGCGCGGTAGGTAACATTTATAAAACACAGTCGGTGTTTACGTAATTAATTTCTCTTGAGCGTATATAAACATTCATATTTTGCGATACTCTTTCCTCTGTTTATATAGCAGAATACACCACACATACAAAATGAACACAACTGGGATACTACATATATAAGTTATAGCCCCTGTCTCTAGCAACTATGTACCTCCTTCAACCCTGGCGGGTTTAACGTCCATTCAACACAGACTAGGTCATTTCGGGACTAACACATGGTTCAATTTCATTTCAATAATTCGCTTGCTCGTAGGGGTCTTTAGCAGTGGAAGGAAACCGGATGACCCGGAGAAAACCCACGAGATTGGACAGGCGACCCTGCTCCTTGTCATGTACAACCGGGGAATCGAAAGCACGCCAGCTGACTCAATGACAGACCTTATGATAACCAATCGGCCATCAAATCTAAAAGTTCGCCCATCTTTTAAAGTCTATTCCCCGGGAACTACAAGGTATCAATAAATGGGAAGTTAAATTGGGTAAGGCACTATCTTGAAGGAACGTACATACAAAGACATATGAATGGCAGTCAGTGACATGGTCATGATTTTCTATTAAATAATGTTTTTATTAATAATTAATAGAGATTGATTGTAATTTTGATGAAAGTTACTGTGGATGGAAACAGTCGTCCGACGATATTTTTGATTGGACAAGAAATAATGGCCCAACAAATTCAGGAAGGACAGGACCACCAAATGATCATACAGGAGGTAAGATTTTGTTTTTTAACGGCTGCTACTAAAGGCCCGGTCCCACTGCACTTACGGATGCAAAGAGGATGTAAAACGGGGGGAAAAACGTGCCCTCCGTTTGAAAACGCCATGCATCCGTTGTGTACTCATTGCATACGTGTTTCATACGCTCTATCCATCGAGCATCCGTTCACTTTGATTTCATCAGCACAAAAAGTTTTGAGCTGCACAAAACTTTTATAACGGATGAACTTTCTGTCGTGTACGATGTAAATGCGCGACCTATACGAGCACCAAACGTTCCATGTCCGTTACCATCCGTTAAACGTCCACTGTATCCTCTCGGCATCCTCTCGGCATCCTCTCGGCATCCTCTCGGCATCCTCTCGGCATCCTCGCAACTCACATCTGCTCCACCTGAAAACGGAAAGAGGGAGAAAAGATAAGGTACATGGAACGTCTATACATCGTTAGTAGCACGGAAATGGAAAGGATGTAAGCGTATCCATCTCGTATATAAAGTTTTCAAAACGGACAAAGCGTTTGTATCTGGGATGTATCTGGTATATTGAAGGATGTCTGGAGTTTGCCTAACCCCTTCGGAGCTCTCATCCACTTCCATCCGCTTTCATCCGCTAGGCTTCCGATGAACACCCATTTAACATCCCCGCTACATACTTACCACGTTCGGTCTTTTCCGTTGTTTTCGCAATTTTCGTCAATTTTGTCCATTTCTGGAGCGGATGAAAACGGATGGAGCCACCCCCGAAAGTTTGTTGTGTCCTTTTTGCATACGTTTTGTGTCCATCGGCCACTGGGACCCAGCCTTAAATAAAAGGATAGTTAGACAGGCAAGGTAACATACGCTGGAAGAAATCAGATACAATGTTAAATAAACGCACGCCAACTGTAATATCGTTCTTCATCACTATATGTTTTTAAATTTGCTTTTAATGGCAGCCATACTAATCCATATCATAGATTGGTTTCTTGTCTGCAATAAAGGACTCGACTCAGATAAAATACTTATCTTTTAAATCTAACCTGACAAATGAAATTCTTCTTGTTTGATTCTCTTCCAGGTGGATCATACATATATATCGAAGCATCAAACCAAGTAGAAAATGATAAAGCGAGAATAGAGAGTCCAGAAATTATCCAGCCTACATCTACACAATGTTTGTCGTTCTGGTATCATATGTATGGAAACACTATGGGTAAGAACGGACCGAGAAACGAATTCACATTTCAGATATTACTGTGAATCTGTTCACTTTTAAATGACGACTGACCGATTGTCGGAACAGTTGATTTTTGGGTTAAAATCCAATATCCAGATCTTATATTAGTTCGACTATGAGATTATAGTGACAGGGTACTACTAATACATTGTGTAACACCAGCCTGTCACATTATCTATTCTGTATTTGTAACACCGACCCAGCATGACAACATCCTTTGTCACTGTATTCCAATCCTAACAATATGTCTTCCGGTCATGACTTCAATAAATGCTTTCAACAACTGATATTTTCAGGTGATCTCAACGTGTATATCAAAACAAATCAGGCGGGATTGGGGGATGCCGTATTTACAAGAGCTGGTGACATGGGGGATGTTTGGAAACAAGGCTATATAAATCTTTCACAAATACCATCTTCATATTCGGTAAGTTCCTATACATCTTCCACACGTAGGATCTGAATATTCGACCAGGTTCAAAACATATCGGACGGAATTGGGTGATGCTTTATGGACAACCGAAGATGATCATGCTAATGTTTGGACCCAAGACCACTTAGCCATATATGAAGGTTAGTGGCCGAATGAATCAACGCGTGTCATTGAGTCAAGTGTTGTGATGTCGAATTCCCGCTTGTTTGCGACAAGGAGTAGAATCGCCTATCCTCCATATCCCCCCCCCCCTCACACACACACACACACACACACACACACTACTAAAGCGAATTGTTGACATACATTGAACAATATGTTAGTCCCGAGTGGACGTTAAACCCCATTTCTATCCCCCTTCCATATAGAAGAAGTAGTTATTAGTACAACAGAGCTACAGAACACAACTGTCAATCTTTTGATAGCTCCCCAAATTTATTTGCTATTATACGTAGATTTACGATTCTTTGAAATATTAAATTGTATTTTATGTAGATTGTATTTGAAGGAGTTAGCGGATCTGACATAAGATCAGATATAGCTATAGATGATGTTACACTTGTCCAGGGAGACTGTCCAGGTAATTATTCATTAAATTTATAAATATAAGTATATCTTTACATCTGGAATTTACGTTGGGTAGCAAAGCGGTCTCTCGAGGTTTGGTACCCAGAATGTACTCCAGAAAGAACCATTTACTGTCAGTTTCCAAACATTTAATACATCACGGACTAGAGACCACTATGTCTAGCCTAAAGTGGGGCCCCTAACGGGGCCAGGCTCAGGGTTTCATGGTCCCCAGTCCGCCCCTGCGATAAAGCTTTCAATTAAATTTATTACCACTTACCAACTACACATATCAACAAACAGCATCTCGTATTACATTAAATTTAGAATATTATACTGACCACAGAAATTCTGTTTATGGCGTGATTATTGTAAACAAATTTGATTAAAATCAGATTTGTCAATTTTTTTCTTCGTTTTCTTAATAGTTCGTATTTTATATTTTACCGGTCTCCATTTTGTAATTAATTTTTTCAAATGAAAATATGTCCCGTCCACAACCGTCTGTACTCGTGAAGGTGACATAAAGAATCGTTGTATTAGATTATATTTATTATTCCAATCACTTTTATTATTTGTATCATGTTGAATTGTCTTATTTCGTGTTTTATCGTATTGATATACGTGTGCTTTCTTCAACTTCCGGCTAATGCAACCATGTAACAAACTGAATAATAAAATCATAGCACGTTATGGAATGCGCTATTGATGATGTATATGAAATTGTATTTGTATTTTTCAGGAGTTTAACCTTGGGAAGATTGGCTGCGTTAACGACATAGTCTGCATCGCTATTCTGATTCTGTATACATATGGAGATATTACTTTGCTACTCTGGTTATTATGTATAGAGAAATCCCTTCCATATTTGCTTTATTTTGTATCATTATTATTATTATTATACGGAGACGCCCCTTTGCTATTTGGGTTATTATTATTATTATTATTATCGCTTGGCTATTTGGGTTATTTTTGCTCTTATTATTATTATTATTATTATTATTATTGTATGGAGAAATCCATTCGGTATTTGATTTATTATTATTATTATTATATGGAGAAATCTCTTCGTTATTTGGGTTATTATTATATGGAGAAGTCACTTCGCTATTTGGGTTATTTTGAAATATGAAGAAATTACTTCGTTTTTCGGTTATTATTATTATTATTATTATTATTATATGGAGAAATCTCTTTGTTATTTGGGTTATTATTATTATTATTATTATTATTATATGGAGAAATCTCTTTGCTATTTGGGTTATTATTATTATTATTATACTGGGAAGTCACTGTTTTTTTGATATATTTAAACGTCACTATTCTCTTTGGGTATTAATACATGGATAATTTACAAAATTCTCTTCAATTTTGATTATTCAATGTTTTCAACCTCCGGGTTAAAGGGCTACATAGAAAAGGTCAATATGTAAGTGGGCTATTATAAGACATATAGAACAGAATTTATTAACGTAAATATTTCAAAAGATAAATCTTACTAGCAATTATAAGATGGGAATACAATAAAGATTGGCCTGACGGGTTGTAATCCCCTTTGTGCAAACTGATCTACACTGATAAGTGACATAGTAAGCTTTCATGTTTGGGCTTTGGAAAATTTATATGTAAAATGGATTATATTTTACAACAATAAAGAAGTTGGTTCATACTGGACAAAATTAGTTTATTAGTTATGACGACTCAGACAGTAATATAATAATATCGCAAAGTGTAACAATTAATAATATAGTGTAATATTGTGGTGTATTACACGAATGCAATTGTCATGAAATGGAAATAATACAAGTTTTAAAACTGTATTCTGCTCACACTGTATTCTGCAAATATTATCCCTACCCTGGGTCGTGATTTAATAAGTGGTTGAGTATTTCAACTGAGAGACAATATTAATATATCGTTATTCCAGATTCTGTTACATTTAATACAAGACACCATAAAATGTACCGTGTTGTTATTTCGTTGTTATTTTGTTAGTTCTGTCTTATAAAATTCGGTATATCTTTTGGTAAGAATAGAATATTTGTATCTCTTTTTGTATCTCTCTCATGAAACAGTTGTTGTTATTATTGACACTAGCCACCAGAAGCAGAAATTAACTACCTTTTGTTTCTGTAACAAAGCTCCAATTTTCATTAGCCCGCTTGACGTTTAACCCATTTAATTCAATTTCATTTTGTTTTGTAACAGAACATCTTATCTTAAATGCAAACAAATAATATTAAAAATATGTACTGGTGTATTGCATGATTTGGACTATATGATTGTACAATTCAATTGGCCACTTTTACCCGTGTTAAAAGTAAACAAGATTTGACAGTAAACCTCACAATGAAAAGAACGCATGTCCATTTGTAAAAAATATAAGGTGTAAGTTAGAAGAAGTAAACATACTCTGCACTGACAAGGATTCTATTCATGCACGCCAATGTGTTTACAGGAGTCCAGTTTTTCGACCCATCCGAAGGATTATACGTTGTCCCATGCCAGGCCCGCCATCCTGTCCTACTGCCATGGGGATCCACGTCGTCAAATTCCGATGAAATTTCCCGGCAAACACTAGGATCGAACACGGATCTGCCTCGTTAACGAACCAGTGCCTTACTCTCTGAGCCACTACGGCTCCCTGTAGAAGTAATAAACATACCCCGCCTCGTGTGCAACTCATAGTTAGAATGATTAATCATACCCTGCCTCATGTACAGCTCTAAGCTTGTTTTACAACTTACAATAATAGTTTGTACAATGGAAGTTGCCGCCAACTACTGAAAATTAATACAACGCGTTTGCCAGTTTTGGTCTTTTCTTAAAAGGTTTAGAAATAATTTTCTAATGGTCGAAACGACGGTCCCGGTAAGATCACAACATCAATGTTGATTTAAACCGACAAATAATTCGTGTATTCAATGTCGAAGATTTTGGACGGTATTTGAGTTCGAGACTTAGCTACTTTAAATATGGCACTCTAGCCGATTCCGCAAGCATTTTAGACAGAGACACTCAAGCTTAATCACTTAAGGAAATGGTCAAGCATAAAACGAAAAAAACCTTTCGCCGGCTACCACCTGATGAGGAGTCTTGCAAACATATTGGCAAAACTAGTGGCCTGATGGATTTTTGATTATGATATTTCGTTTCAGAGACCCTTAAAACATACAAATAGACACCTCAGAAGCCTATATTAAATAAATTTATATTTTCCCGCCATATCTGGCAGACATTTTGAATTTGGTCCTCTAGCGGATTCCGCCAGCGTTTTAGAGAGATGCACCCAAGCTTAATCGCTTCAACAGGTTTTTGTCATATAGAAACCACCTTCAAAACAAATTCCCCGAAAATTGGTCACGGATTTTAGGTCTCGTACCCAACTATATGTAAGATTTGCAGACCAAGCATTGACAAAAAGGTAAGTTCGGTGGATGTATGGGGCAGTGTTGATAACTGTAATCGAAAACTCATTTACCAAATTATAAGCTAACCACGAAGTGTTAAATGCTATAGTGTAAAACTATAAAACTGCGCCACGGCATTCAAAAGACAATGTAACACTGTTGTGTGTCGCTGTATCCAATCAGGATTTCCACGATGTGTACTTTTTTAAATAGATCAATTAACTATGGAACACGTGTTGGTATAACTATGTTTATATATATCTATAACATTCATATTACAAACGGTTATATACAGAAAACTGCACACACAGCTATGACATTAAATATAAGCTAAATATAAGTTCCCTATTACTTGTGGGGGGGGGCGAATGGTTAGTGCGTGCGCTTTTATCATAAGGTCTTTTATTGAGTCAACTGGCGTGGTTTGGATTCTCCGGTTGTACGTGACAAAGAGTGGGGTAGCCTGTCCAACCTCGTGGTGTTTCTCCGGGTCCTTCGGTTTCATCCCACTACTAAAGACTGTAGGAGATTATACTGCCAACGGGGCGAGAACACTAATGCGTCTATTGTCATAAGTTAAATGATGACAAACAATGTATGTAGATTAACATAATTCTTATTATTAAAGTTGGAACGTTGATTAATAACTATAGCTGTATACAGATCGTAGATGATATGACGTATGACGTAAAACGTAAAACGTAAAACGTAAGACGATTAACTGAAATACACAAATACACTAGAGTAAATATGGGAATATAATTATGAAAAGTGTGAAATAAGATAATACTGGTAGTGTTAACATTACACAAGGTAATCAACTTTTCAAGCCAAGGGACAGGCTCAAGAATGCTGACAGTAAGGTACATAATGCAATCATGGCTTTACTAAGTCAAAATACCAAACAAAATAACAAAACATTTCTATAAATAATCATAGAGCAAAACATAATACATGTACTATTATTCTCCAGTAAAACGAAATACGATTAAGGGGAGACAACTACTAATATTACCTTTATCTAAACATAGAACTGTAGCAATCTATGAATATGGTATAATACAAAAACTGTGGTGGAATGTATTTTACTCCCAAGGTCAACGCTATTGTTTAGATATATTAATTAACTCACTAAACAGACTACACCTAATAACAATAGAGATACGACAAGCGACCAGTCAAATAGCATGCGAAGCGGACATGGCGGGGACCTCATCAGCCCAATGCCATGACTCCACGAGTGTGGAGCGTGATGACAATGTTGCAATAATACATATAAAATTAAAACAATGAACATCTAAATAATATATTAAATTGACACTACAAATACCGTGTTTTTATGCGAATCCCCTTCAAATCTCTTACATAGCTGACAAGGTCTGACAAATGTTAATAACTGATAAAAGTGCTATGTTCTGCCAAATAGCTACTGCCATGAAACGCTTCTGCCATGTGCTTATAACTTCCGTTTCTAATACTAACAAACTTCGGGATACAAAAAATTGCGAAACGAAATGTTACGCGTACACGCTGGTTGATTGAAATTACTGAATCAACTTAATAATTTGAAATCGTATTTCTGGCCATAACAAAGACCCCTACGAGCAAGCGAAATATTGAAATAAAATTGAACAATATGCTAGTTCCGAAATGATGTAGTTTGTGTCGAGTGGACGTTAAACCCATCACGTTATGCCTCTGATACCCGTTATTTTAGGCATGACAGTAAACAGTTCACCATATATACCTCATAATTTAAACTAGTTTTAGAGATTAGTGTCCAAACTTAGACACGCCCAAATACGTCGCGTCCGCGTGAGCTGGGAGTCCGAGGCACGAGTAACCTTAATCCCCCAATAATATCATGATAATTGTGTAAAAATTGGATATTTACAGCAAAACAAGTGGTTATTTTTGATTTTGGCCAGTTTGACCCATTTTGTATGTGATAATATACGTCAAAACTGACCGTAAATCGTAGTCGGTATTTCTATTGCAGCAAGTACCCGCGATGAGGCGGAATTGAGTAAAAATGCCTGGACTAAAGGTATATTGATACGCAAAGATATTTTAGTGTAATATTATGTTTTATCTTTAATTTAATTTAATTTTCTATTAATCTGAATATAATATAATATACCAAGGTGATCAAACAAAAATACAACTAATAGTTTAAATATCTATATACCATTGTCGTCAAACAAAAAAAACACCACTAACAATCTGAATAGAATGTAATATACCATTGTCGTCAAACAAAAACACATCTAATTAATACAGAAGTATAGCAATAGAAGAACAATAACGTATAGACAATGCTGGACCTGATAAAATCGTGAACCTAGGAATCTTGTAGTGCTGGTCTATGGTTGTATATTGTTTGATCATCCATCTGCTCGCTGACAACGAAGTGGTCCAATTGTAACAGATGCCATTTCATCATAACCCATCCAAATCCCTACAATATATAAACATTAATAATTACATATGACCCGATCGGTTGTAACAAACGTCTTTTTCTCTGTAGCCTCTGAAACACGAACAACAATATAAACTATTGATGTCAATTTATAAGATAACAGAACACAATTTTTATGGGAAACAATCACTGGTTTTATTCTAATAGCACGACGTTTCGACAAGTATCCTCTTATCGTTATCGAGTACAATGACATTCAGTAAACTTGGGTTTAATTTATAAGAGTTTATGATGAAGCCATTTACAAAAATTAAATAATAATAACAATAAGAAGTAAAAGATTAAGCAAAAACAACACAATATAATAGACCCACGGTCCAACCAAAGGATACTATTGACTAACAATGAATGCCTTCAAAGGGAGCCATTGGGTGAAACCATATTACAGTTAATGAGGTGATCAAGATGAGACCATTCACCAAGAAATACAAACACAACATAACCCTACATCCATAGTCTAAATAAACACGAATAACATGTGCTTACTAATTAAGCAGTCCAGGAAATAAATGATCTTAAACAAATGAAAACCATAACAAAATATGAATAAACAATAAAAAACAATAAATAATGGGAATAAATAAGCAATATGAGGTGATTAAACATGTATAGGTTGGCAGGCTGATTGCGAGAAACCAGTAGAGTGATATATTAAGTAATGTAGACAGTTTGTAATACTTGAGGTAACGGCGTAAAGTAAAGCCGCTGAATTAAGGAATTAGAACCCTTTAAGTGATATTATTCATCCTGATAACGTGATCATATGCCCTTGAAATGTGAAGCCCTGCGTCCCTGTTCAGTTCTGGTGAGTATCTTCTAATGTTAATTGCTTCTAGGATTTTCCTGGTTTTCTTGTTCTGTTGGTTGGATGTAAGAATCTGCACATCGTTCCGTTCGACTCTATGCTGCGGGTGGTTTCGAAGATGCTCTGCTATGGCTGAGTTGTTGGTAGCAGCTTTGGATCTGTGTTCCGATATTCGTTTATCTAGGGGTCGTTTACTTTCACCAATGTATGAGAAATCACAAGAGCAGTTGACTTGGTAGACGACTCCCTTGGGCTGAATAGGTAGGCTTGGCTTTAGTTTGCCATTCGCTTTCAGTATCTGTTTTAATGTGGTAGGGACAGAGAATGTGGTATCAATGTTGGACTTCTTGAGTAGGTTGCTGACCTGGTATGATAGGTTGCTGACTTGGTATGATAGGTTGCCATAAAATGGTAAAATTATGCTAATCATCTCTTTGGGCGTTTTTTGTTGGCTTTTTTTGATGTTTTTTGTTGTTTCTTTGATTTGTTTCATTTTGTGTTCTGTTATTGTGTTCCCCAATCACTAAATGCCACTTAAAGATTAAATTTATAAGATTCTGTACATTGCCTAATTAATGAACCAGATATAGACTCTCTTGGTCCGCTAGAAATACATACCTTTGCTAATAATGTAAACCAATGAACGTGTTTTAGTCTACTGTAGTTACCC